GATTACTTTGAAACTTTAGAGCAAGAGATGAACAAATTACTTGTGTATTACTGTATCGTGTATTTGTTCCTGTATACGATGCCGTAACAAAATACAATTATACAATTTTGTGTAATAAAATACAATTATACTTCATATAAAATATGATTAAATTTAAATTTTACAAATTATACAATTATACTTCATACAAGTATAAAATATGATTAAATATACATTTTACACCTCGTTGATATGAATATATAAATGCAAGTGTTCTAAACGTTCCATAATTCAAAAATATGGCATATAATGTGTGTCTTATACTCTTATATACGTAGTACTAATTTAATTACAAATTTAATGATAGAAAATTACTCTAAATAAGTCTAAAAATGTTTGAATATTCCCAAATTAGACTATCATGTTTTTATTTTCAAAATATGACTAATTACGGTCATGTTTTAGTAGTACCAGACTTTAACATGAAAGCATTTTTTTTATACTTGGTAGTAATTACTCCTATTTTAGTTGAGAATAAAAATATGACGGTCCTATTTTGGAATTTTCAAACTTTTTTATTCCTATTTCAAAATTTTCCCTAGAAATAATAAATCATTTGTGTAACTCTCACTTTCTTCAACAATTTAAAAATATAAACTAGAAGTAAAATGGTACCAACTTCAAATTTTCTACGTAGTATTACAATAAGGCCAAGTCAAAACAAATCGCAAGTCAAGGAGTTATGCAACAAGTTTACATAAATTTAATTGCAGTCATAGTAGTACAAAAAGCAAAAACACGATATAAAATATGAAGAGAATGCCAAACTCTTCTCAAATAGCAAATTTGATACAAAAAATTAAGGAATAAACATAAATATTTGAATTTAGTAAATTAATTAAGTCATACAGGACAAAGGAGGACATAACATCGCAAGTCAAGGAGTTATGCAACAAGTATATATGTTAAGTCATATATACGTAGTATGTTTGCCAAAAAAACATACGGAGTATATGCTTTTAAAATTAATTAGAATAGAAGTTGAGCCTCTCAATGAGCTGTCGACCTGTCGTGATACTCGAATCTTGATATAAGTTGAATTCAAGAGTAATATAGTAGTAATATCTAAGCTCCTAAATATTATATAATCCAAATAGATTATGACGTTGAAACCAATTTATTAAACCTGACGACTATTAAATGATTAATGAACAAATAAGCTGTAATGATTTCTTAAGCATTATAAATAATATTGAAAAACAAATGATCACATGTCTCTTCTTCTGATCTGCATAAAGGATATTCACCCACCACCGGTATAAATCGACTCTTCATTAAATCAGCCATTGGTAACACGCCAAATGCAAGCTGCCAAAAAAGATCTTTATTTTTGGTGGGATCTTACACTGCCTGACCTTTGTCCAGCCGGTCCACCTTGTTGGTTGTATCTCGCCTATCAACCTTCTATAGCAACTGCATCATTTTTCATCATTTTCATTTACCCCAGTGCCGCAAAGGCTCCCACCTACGGTATACGGGGTCAGATGTACGCAGTCTTACCCCTATACTAAAGCACAAAGAGTGTTCCCGGATGACCCATAGTAAAAATCTTGTCCAAAATTGCATGGACTGACTGATGCTTCATAACAAAGAAGCGCAGACAGTTTAGTGAGCCATTTTGCTTTATTCCATCATATTCTCAAACCAAAAAATAATGAATCTTTGGCTCCATTGCAAACGATGGAAAATTCTATAGCTACTGCGCACGGTAAATTTTCCTTTTGGATCATCATTCCATCTATACCCGTCTTCAACCTGTCTTATGCTTAAGGGGATGCTCAATATTGCTACTCTCTTCTCTTCTGTAAACAGACTGGTAATGCGTTGGACATTCCACGATTTTTCATCCTTATTTAAGAGCACCGCGACATTCATATTTGAAACTCCTTGTGGCCACCGTGACGTTATTCTCCCCGACTCTATTCCAGGGACCTAGGCATCCTTCCAAATCCAAATCTCTTTGTCGTTTCCCACTCTTCTCCGTGCTCCAGCGCGCACAACACCTTGACCCGCTAGAATTCTAAGCCAAATATCAGATGGGTTACTCCCTAATGTCGCTTCAGTAAATGAACTCTGGGGATAGTATTTAGCCTTAAGCACACTTCCAACTAGTGAACTTGGCTCGGTAAGTAATTTCCACCCTTGCTTTCCCAACATCGCTATGTTAAACTCTTTTAATCTTTTAAATCCCAGCCCCTGGATTTATGCAGGCACATCTTCCTCCAATCTGTCCATCTCACCCCCTTCCCAATAAAATCATTACCTCTCCACCAGTACCCATTCACCAGTCTCTCTAATTCAGAGATCAAAGTGTCTGGTAGGAGGAAAACATTCATGGCGTAAGTGGGCATGGCTTGAATAATAGTCTTCAGCAAAATTTCTCTTCCTGCTCTGGACATGAATCTATTGTTCCAGCTCGAAAGTCGTTTGATTACTCTTTCTTTGATATAAGACAAGATGTCCTTTTTCTTCCTCCCGACCAGTGCAGGCAAACCCAAATAGTTGCCCATCATCTCCACTTGATTAACCTCCAGAACCGCTCCTAACTCTTCCTGCACTCGGTGCTATACATTAGCGCTGAAACATATACTAGATTTGTTAAGTCTGCCCTGAATAAGTCTCATATTGTAAAAGAATCTCCTTAACGACTTGAAATTCCTCCCTCGCTCTAAAAAACAGATAACTATCGTCCGCAAATAGTAAGTGAGAAATTTTAGGAGCCTATCTCACAACTGCTATCCCATGCAACTGTCCCAAAACCTCCTGTTTTTGGATTAATACACTCAACCCTTCAGTGATGATAATAAATAAATAGGGTGACAAAGGATCTCCTTGTCTCAGTCCTCGTTGGGTTATTATTGGCCCGATAACAGAATTATCAAATGGCAAAAAAAAGGTAACGGAGGATATACAATCCAACATTAGGTGGACCCATTTCCGGTCAAAACCCATATTCTCCATAATCTTCCTTAAAAAACTCCATTCAACTCTATCGTAGGCCTTACTCATATCTAGCTTTAGGGCAGACAGCAAACCCCTCCTTGCTTTGTCTTTTCCGTTTTAAAAAATGGTGGGTCTCAAAAGCGATGCTAACATTGTCAACAATGGTCCAACCTGGGATAAAAGCACTCTGATTTCCACACACAATATCATTTAATAGCCCTTTCAATCTATTTGCTAAAACCTTAGCAAAAATTTTATATACCACATTGCATAACGCAAATGGTCTCCACTCCCCCATAGCCTCAGGTTTCGTTTTTTTGGTATTAAGACCAGATTTGTTTTATTAACTACCGAAGGAACTTTCCCCTGTTCGAAACATTGTGTACAAAAGTGAACAACATCCGCCCTCACTGCATCCCAATAGTTTTGGAAAACCCCGGATTTCATACCGTCCGGTCCCAGTGATTTATCCGGGTGCATATTGAAAGCAGCTTTCCGAACTTCATCAGCAGTAATAGGCCTTAACAAAAACCTGTTTTGGATATCAGAAACTAACTTTGTTTCCTGCATCTCTACCTCTGGACTGTTGTTCTGGAAGAAAATAGAGAAGCAAAATAGTCTTGGATCATATCTATTAAATCACCCCGGTTAGTGATCCAATTTCCGTTAGAATCCCTTAGCCCTTCTATTTTGTTTCTCCGCCTGTGTTGTTTTACTGAGTTGTGAAAATATTTTGAGTTGATATCCCCTTCTCTAAGCCACAATTCTTTCGCTCTTTGTTTCCAAACAATATTTTGTTGTTCAAGAAGATTAGCCAGAGTGTTTCTAACTCTGAAATTCAGCTTCCTGTCTTTCCCCCCTCTGGCCTCGCAGCTCCTTCCATCTCTTGTTGCATATCCCATTTCTACAGCTCCTTCCATCTCTTGTTGCATATCCCATTTCTAGCTGAAACCCCCAACCTCCTGTTTATTCCCCATCTGCCCAAAGCTCTACTACATATATATCTCCATTTTCTGCCAGATGTTCTCTTCACACCTTGTGCCCCAACAATTTTGTACCACTCCACGGCACCCCTCATCCTTAGCCCAAACATTCTCAAACCTAAAATGTTTTCTCCTGTTCTGGAAGAGAGCTTGTAAGGCATATTAGCAACATTAGGTGATCACTTGTATATCCACTCAAGTGAGAAGGCCTGTGCTGCTCCGAAGCGAAGTAACCAATCTTCACTTGCAAGAATCTGGTCCAATTTCTCTTCTACAAAAGCATTCGTTCCTCGACCTCTCTCCCACGTCCATTGATGCCCATCAAAGGGAAAATCTCTAAGCCCGCACATCCATACCGTCTCCCGGAATCCACACATCTGCCATAAAGGTTGTGAATAGCCGCCTCTCTTCTCGCTGGCAAACATTATATCGTTGAAGTCACCAATGACAAGCCAAGGAAGATCGAACTGATTCGCCAGATTTTGAAGCAAAGTCCATGCTTCCCTCCTTCCATGATCTGGTATCCCATAGTATCCCGTCAACCTCCACCAAGCTTCCTCCTGATTTGATCGTATGGAACAATCGATGAAAAATTGCCCAGAATCAATTACATTTACCTCTAGCTCATCTCTCCAAAACAAGGCTAGCCCCCCGCTCAAACCCTGACTCTCAACAATACATCCAGCTTGAAATCCTAAACTCGCCATTACTGCATTTACGCGACATCTCCCTTCCTTAGTTTCCATAAGGAAGATGACCGATGTCTTTTCTTTCACCACATCACTCATAACTTGGACGGTAGCAAGATTACCCAAGCCCCTGCAATTCCAACTTACTATATTCATTCCAACCTAAATCTGCGATCGCTCTAACACATGAAAAAAAAAAAGACAATCCCGCCGGACGGCCGGACAGAGTAATCCACCGGATTATCGCCGGAAAAAACAAACCCTAGAAACAGGAAAACTTGCCAGGTACCAGACTACCAGACCACTGTGTCAACGTGTATGTACTATATACATTTTATCCTTGAAATACATGATTTTTTCCAAATTTTGAAAAAAAAAAATCTTAAACGATTATAGTATACGTGAGTTATATGTTTAAATGAAATACATGCGAATAAACTAACAACACTGCAACACACAAGAGTGATGAGTCCTTGGACATCTCACCCTTAAGAAAAAAGACGATTCATCTAAATATCCTCAAATCTGAAACTAGAATTTCCGTTGTACAATGGTATAGGTGACTTTTGAGCATTTATTCACTCAAAAGTGCACTTCAGAAGTCACAACTCACGAGAGGTTCTGGACTTCAGTAGGCCTGGTTAAGTTACATGAGTTACAGAACAACATGGTTGTCACTTGTCAGCATCCAACAGCAACATACATTCCTCATGAGTTGCAAACTTAACCATCCAAGGTTGCCACTTCGCCAGTACCAACCATTTTAGCTCCGCGTTTGAAAAATCAAACCGGGAATTACTTGCCAATCCAAATTTGACATCGACAAACTTCATATAACAGCTCAATATGACAATATCTATAGATAAGTTAAAGTGGGATGGGGTGACGTTACACTGGGTGAGGGAGGAAGTTGAAAAACTCAAGCACAAAGATTCCTACTAAAGCCAAATGTGTCTCTAATAGCTATATTAACTGATTATGATATGAAGAAAAAAAAAGTAAATAACAAAAAGTACAGGGTAGCAGCCATCCAAGCTTTGGCACAGCCAAACTTGCTCGAAAGGCAGCTTTCATTATCATTACAAGACCCTGAAAAATCTGAGGCACTAGAAGGGAGGAGAGCGAAATTAAAAGATTAGTAGTTTTGCCAAAGCTGTTGCTGGGAGGATGGCTTCGGCTGAACTTGAGCTCCTGCCAAAGAACCGTCTCTAGGGTTCTGCTGCTGCTGCTGGTGGTGAAGATGATCCAACGAGATTCCAGCTTGAGAATGGTAGAAGTTTGGGTGGTATCCCAACGCGTGATTCTGAGATGACTGCTGTGGAACGTGCCGGAACCCACTGGCTTGCTGATTGTGCCCCTGAAGGGTGTAGTATGGATTGGCTGGAGGTGCAGACATTGTTCTTGAACCATGTCCATGGAGCCACATACCTGCATTGTCACCCTGGACGAAAAGCATAATAGTGTAAAGAAGTGTGGTTGGAATGACTGAATTAGATTAATAGTCTGAACTATATATAAAAGTATAATTACACAGTAATTAAGTCTTGTTTCTATTTCTTTTTCCCATCAAACTGTCATAAAATGCAGTTAGTTTTTCACAAAATATGCCAAAACAAATTGCAAATGAGTTACATATGACACACTTAATGTAGCTCACGCCAAAGAATAAATTTTAAAAATTTAATTAGAACGTACTACGTATATCTTTTAAGAGGTTGTACCTTAAAAATTTAAAAGGTTGTACAAGCCAAAAATTAAAAGCTGTAACTTGACCAACCAAGACTTTTTAGGACTGAATGAGTATAAAAGATAAGTGTAAAGTGTCATTTACTTCCTTTTTAGACTTCCAGTCCTAGTCCAATAAAAACATATTTGCTACTTTTTTCAAACAATTAAATTAGTCAGCATTCGGTAGAAAATCTGGTCAATGAAAACAAGATATGAAACGACACTGGTTACCAATGTAAAAAATAAAGAAAATATCCATAAAGAAAAAAACATACCTGTTGAAGAGACATTAACTGATTGATGTCCTTGTACCGAGAACTTAGCCCATCATCAATACCCAAAGAGGTACTAGTAGCAGTAGAAGGATTCAACGGGAAGCTTCCATGAATCGTGCCACCAGTATTCCCGAAGGCACCACCATATCCAGAAGCAACGCTACCAGCAGAGGGAGGCAAACTACTAACCGACACACTATTCTTGTACTGTGGGAGCATCGCTGCCAGAGATTGTTGGTAAGTACTATTACCAGCAGCAAAGGATTGTTGTTGGAAACCAGGAGGCATGTACGTGTAACTCTGTGGCAGAAAAGGGTAACTGATTATGTTTGCATAAGGTCCCACAGGAAGAGTTGTTTGAGAATATGGATGCAAAGCAAGGTGTTGATGAAGTGCAGGGCCCGTGGCAATATTGGTCCCATTAAGGGTCTGTTGTGAGGGATGTGTTGACGGAAAAGCAACAGTTTTCAAAGCCTGCAGCAGCACACCACAATCCAGTTATAAAAAAACAAAATGATGGCAAAACAAAATTGAGCACCCAGAATTTCAGTCTAAATCTTTTCCCTTCTACACAAGTTAATTAAGAGGAGCACAATGAGCATTTTGAAAGTGGGTGCATGGATTGTTAATACTGGGATTTTAATCAGTGAGTTGACTATATTTTATTGCTAAACTCATGGAAAGGTGTATAATGGACTTCAACAATATTCACAAAGTGCCAAGGCAGTGAAGCACTCTAGATGCTGTAATCATATATTTTGTGGTGATTTCCTATTTTTATCGCTCAAATTCAAGACAATGTAATCAACTTTTTTACTAAATAGTCCATACTGGTTGTCCATTTCTTGCCATATAGCCCTCAATTCTATCACAAGTGGCAATTTAGTCATTTGCTACAAGTCAACTGTTCACCCTTTGATCCCGTCAACTGTTTTGGTAAATAAGTTGCAGTTCAGTAAAGTTTTGACTTTTGAACACATAGGTAGAACCGTAGAAGACAGTAGCAAATAATGAATAGAATTTACTCCGTAACAGATGACATTAAGGGCCTGTTTACTTGTGACTTAATGAACTTAATGGATATTGTGAATTAATCATTCAGCTATATGATGTTGTTTACTTACGACTTATTTAAAATGTTGACTTATTCACGCAGACCTTTCACGACTTATTCGCTCAGTTCAGTTTTAACACTCGTTCCGATACAGACGTGTAGGTGTGGGCAGATTATCTTTTTTAACCCTGCTTTTTCATTCGTTTATTTCATCGCTCCCATCACTCTCTTGACAACCCTGCGAAATTCCATCATCGGAATTCGGAGTACCCATCGAGCCATCACAAAAGCAGCGAAGAGGAATTTCATCCTCTACCTTTTTCATCTCCGTATTTCATATGAATTTGTATCTGTTTTAAATTTTTATTTTTATTTTAAATTGCAGCTCTTCTCTTTATTCTTGATCTGATTGTTCTCTTCCTAAATAATCTACTTTCAAATTTCTGGTAAAATCGATATATATACATATGTTGTTATCTTACTTATCACGTGTGTTTTGATTTTGAAATTAAAATGAAGGCGCTTAAGATTCTCTCAAAGGAAAAATTGATTTGCTTAAGGATTAGATTTACAGATGCATCTTACAGATGGAGAGCAACTATGAATTACAAACAGAGAGCTAAAAGATTGTAATTTTTGTCTATGGGAATTACAAACAGAGAGCTAAAATTCTAACTTTGTTAAGTTCATAGGTTCCAGTTGCTTATATCTTCTATGTTGTTTAGATGGAATGGTGGATACCTATCTTACACGTGCAATGCTTGTTACAGATAGAGGGTAAATTGGTAATTTGATATAATTCAGACTACACATTCTGCAAACATAGTAAACAACTTGGTATGACAGTATCACTTAATCCAGACAGACGTCTTAATACAGACAGACATCTTAATCCAGACAGGACTTAATGAAAAAAAAAGTAAACAGCCCCTAAGTCAAAGGGCCAAAAAAGGGCTAAAAAATAATTTTGATGTGACTAAATTCACAACAATAAGGTGTATCAAAAGACTAATAATTTATATTTGCACAAACAAAAAACTATACCTCTGGCATGGAAATTGTAGGGCAACCAACCCCAGAAACTGAGTTTCCATACTTTGGGGGCATTGCTTGTGAAGAAAATGGCAAGTAAGAATGTTCAGACTCTCTACCAGCTTGAACATTTGATGACAACAAATTGCTTGGTAAGGGACCAGTGTATCCCTGCATTGAACCCACAATAAGAAACAAATGTGGTAAAGCAGTTATCATGCAAAGCATAATACAGAAGCTGGTCTCATAGTCAGGTAGATTGGTTAAAGATAAGGGAGGTCATATATTTCCTCAGGATCCCATGAAAACGTTTAAATATGTTTCCCGCATACAAGTATGGAGTATCTTATTTTAGGTCCCTGTAAAACTATTTGTTAACCTTTTTTGTTTTCTGACCCTGTAATTTATGTTTTTCTTTCCATTTTTTGTCCCTTTCGTCAACCTCCACTATGAGCCTTTCATCATTAACTTTTTGTAACTACTAACTAATCAGCTACTAATAAGGGAGCTACTAATTAGGGAGTTGCGGCCATGTAAAACCCATCATTCTAATTTTAGTTTATATCTTTCTAACTCTTCGGAAATAAAATATTAAGTTAAAATGATGTGAAAAGGCCAAACTGGATTTATGTGATTGATATACGTCAAATTCTTTAGACACAGTTGAAAAAGAGGGACTCAGATACAAATGTTAAAAATGTAATACTTGCAGGGATGAACACCATATTTCAGTCAACAAAAGGTATCAGGATTTTGTATATGGGAACTTGTTTGAGATTGACTAAATGCCACATTAGATGGTTGAGAATTCTCATAAGTATAACCAGCAGGCGTATTTGATGGAAAGCTGTACTGATTATCATGTGCTGCTACTTCAGAATGTTCCACTTTCAGTGTATCCGGTTGTGAATCAGAAGGTGACTCATAATTCCCAGAAACAGCTTCATTCCTATGGAATAAAATATCATCTGGTGCATTCCTCAGATCCTCGTCACCATAGTATTCAGAACTTCTGCGAGAAATTGAACATTACAAATTATTTGATACCTTTGGTTCATTTACAAACTAAGGGGGTTTTGGAAGTCAGACTGTGGAAAATGCTAGAGAACGGGGAAAATGCTGAGGAAGTTAATTACTTGCATTCGATTTTATTTTCAATAGTTCAAAAGAAAGTGAAAAATGATTACCTTAAAAAATCTCATATACATATTTACATTTCTTAGAGTTTACAAAAAGAGTTCTTATTATTTCTCCTTGGCAAGGTTGTTAAACTCGAGATCCTAGCACGGATCGGAAGGGGTCTAGGAGATCGTAACTCGGGGATCGTAACTCGGATCGTAAGATCCTACCATGCAATATATATGTGTATATAATATATATATACATACACACACACACACATAGACATACAATTCAATTCTACTTATATTCCCGATTAATAATAATAATAATAATAATAATAATAATAATAATAATAATAATAATAATAATAATAATAATAATAATAATAATAATAATAATAATAATAATAATAATAATAATAATAATAATAATAATAATAATAATAATAATAATAATAATAATAATAATAATAATCTAAAACAGCTAACGTAACAAGTTAATATAATTATATAAAACATAAACTGAATAACATTTAATTATATAATTATATAATATAAATTATATTTAATTATATTTAATAATATAATTATATAAAACAGTTAACATAAATTGAATAACATTTGGCAAGAATTTCAAAGATAAACTCCAAAACATACGACATAATAAAAAAAACATATGAATATTAATTTGACACAACAAGTTCATTAGGAGGAGGAGTCCCAAAAGACCCGATAAAAAGCAGTCCCAAAAAATTAAAATTGGACAAAAAGACAGAACAGAGAAGAGACGAAGAGGACAAAAAAACAGAGTACAGCAAAGAGACGAAGCGGACGAAAGAAGAGAACAAAGGAGAGATGAAGAAAACGAAGCAGGGAAGATTAACGTTGCACCAGGTGTCGCTTGGGCTTCGTTCATCTTAAGTCGCGATGGGTTCCGCGACTTCTTCCCCTTTTTTAGCTTCGCAGTCGCAACTCGTGTAGATCGAAGAATCGTACGAGTTACGATTTTACTCGACGATCCAACGATCCTAGGGCGTTTTCCGATCCCAGCAGCGATCCAGCTCGCACCTCCCTATTCTGATCGTTAAATCGTACGATCCTGCGAGTTGGATCGCGATCTTAACAACATTGCTCCTTGGTATTTCCCGAGTTCTGAACAGACACTAAACTCACAGAGAAACCCCCCTAAAAACACCATTAAATGAAGAAAAAAGTGAAAGTACCCATTGGTCAAGTGCCCAACTGGTGGAGCATCTGAATCTATAGACGTGTCTTCCACATGTGTCTCTGCATTAGGAGCAGATGTTAAATCCGCAGGAATTGTAGAACTAATTGCAGGTCCAAAGCTGCCAAAGTTAAGGTGCAAGCAGTCTGCAGCATGAACTTGTAGGTGCTGTGGAATGACTACAGAAGGTCCGTCCCTTTCAGGTGACACACTTTGCTCCTCCTCGTCCTCGTCCTCGTCCTCCTCCTCTACCTCCTCCTCTATAGTGAGTTGATGCATGTTGGCAGTAGCTAATGATACTGAGGTATCAGCATCCTCAACTGTAATAAAAAAGGTTGGGGTGATATAAAGCACAATCACAAAGTGCTTACTTTCAAATACTATTATCTCAGAAGATGAAACTGAAGTTGAGTACTTAGCAATAGTTAGCATGCGCGCTTTCATGAATATGAGTTACCTTTTTACTGCCACAAATGCAACTAAAGTGATCACCTCACTGGCCAAAATGAATAAGGTAACAAGTATCTAAGGCTTCAACGGTTAGTTTGTTACCAAAAGAATGATTTGTTTCGGAAAATGGTTTGCTCAAAACATTTCTCATGAAAATATTTTCCTATAAATAAGTTGTTTTATCATCTACATAAAATGATGTTAGAGCCATCATGAAAAATGACTTCCCGTTTTATAAAAAATATAAGGACACACTTGGATCACAGAAATTGCTAGAGAAAAGGGAGAACTGCTGAGTGAAGTTATTTATTATGGTTGACTTTACCATTGAAAATGTATAGGAAAATGAAATATAATCAGTCCCCCCATATTATTAGATTTTCTTAGTGTTTATATAGTACAAGTAAATTGATGAAATGAGTATAAAATTTGAAAAGATATAAAAAATTAGAACTATTGAATTTAAACTATATTTTCCCACAAATTTTCCTCTGTTCCCATTTTCGTCCATACTTTCCGAGTTACAAATAGAACTTAAAGAAACTTAGCACACATTAACTCACTTTTGTGTCCATGAACACCATGATAAAGTGGAGGCTGGTATCTACCATGGTCACTGTCTGCACCTCCAGAAGTATCCTCCAGCAAATTCCTATTCTGAAGAAACCCGGGCACCACGGGACTGTCACCATTGATGCCACTTTCTACTGCTTCTGGAACCTCATCTAACTGTGAATGTTGTTGGTTACTTTTATTCAAGTCCGTATTAGACGAATCTGGATGCAGCTGTGTAGTGAGAGGATCTGAAATAGAAGAACTTCTAGCAGCAGCTGACGGCTGCTCAATTAGAGGCCAGTCATCATGTTGAGTTCCAGATGAAGGCCTCGGAGCAAAGTTGTGACTGGCACTGACCGGATGCCATGATTCACTACTTGGAACATGTGGAGCCTTATTTTGCGGCCTACCCATCTTAACAATATCAGCCATTGACATTTGCCCTGGGACACTTGCCCAAGCAGACTGGTTTCCAGATGAATGTTGTGGAGCTGCTGGAACATCATCAGCTGCCATATCAACTGGTTTTTTGCTCTCAGTATCAACAGCATCACTGTAACCCATACATAGAAGTATTAAGAAGATTAAAAAATAGACAAGCTGCAAAAGATGAAACCATTAATACTGTAATAGGATGTTCAATAGGCATATAGGAAGCCTTCTACTGTATCTTTGAATAACCCATATAGAAACTATCATGAATAATAATCAATTTAGTTGTTTTACCAATTAATTTAAAAAAAAAAACCGAAGGATAAAAATATCACACTTATGACAGGCAGGTTGGAACTCTTTATATTAACGTCCTATGGAATATTAGTCGCAGTTCCAAAAAAGGTATTACATACAACTCTGAACCAACCAAATGTGACAAAAGAGAGGAAGTGCGAGCTGCAAATTGCTAACTCGCTCATTCTAAAATACATTATGTTTCAACATATGCACGCAGACACACATTTAAATACATGCATACATATATGTGTTTGTAATTGTACATACGACCACATTAGAATGGCATGAACTAACGCTTGAGTAGTAGTCTGCAACGCACTTCGTAACTATCAAACGGTATGAAAACAGTGTCAACCATGCTTCAAAAACAGAATGTCTATACATTTACAGATATGATAGGTAAAGAAATCAATTTTATTTTCTAACAGATTTTCCAATGACTATTAATAAAAATTCAAAATCTCACTCTATATAAATTGAGGTGGGTTGACTACTATGTACAGACCTGATGCACAGCGAAAACTGCTAAACTTAGTTATTAATATTGAATTTCAACAATTAATGACATTAATGGCATATGATAAACAAAATCTTTAAGCCAACACAAAAACATTTCATACCTAAATACACGTCATACAATAATGCATAACTTACTTGATAGAAGGCAGACGCCTACTTGAAACACCCCCCGCTATTCTAGATGATTTAATTGTAGTGAATCCGTTCTCCTTGTACGCAGAGGTCGATTTGTCATGTGATGTTGAGTCTGGAGAAAGGGTTAGGTTTCAATAAAAATGATTTGTAACCTGATGAAGAGCTCAGAGTGCCACAAGGTAAATCAAAAGAAGAATTTTGAAGTACACAAATACCTGATCCCCCACGCCCAGAAAAGCGATCTGCACTTCCTTTACCCCCACGGCCATAATTACCGGCACCACGTGGCCTAGATTCAGTGAAATCCTTATTCTAGAAAAGGGAAAAAAACAGAACTGATAAGAAGTTAAAGAAATAGTGCATCTGAACATTTATGGTTGCAATACAAGCACACACCTCTTTTCTTTTATCTCGTTTGCTCTTCACCTCATGAAAAGGATCTGAATAAACAGCAACATTCAATTATAAATGACAATAAAATATGTTTTGAAGTAACATAGGTCAACCTATTCACGATGATGCATAGCCCCTACTGTGAAACAGTAACATTGAGAAAGAAGCATCACATCAAACATGTAACAACTAGCAAGCAGTCTCATAATTTAGTGATGTCATTATAAAATATGTTACCATGATTGAAATTTTAAAATTTATCAAATGGGATGAAGAGCAGGTCATGCAATAATAATGCACCCATGGAGTACATTAGTTTGTCATACAAATAAACTCATATGGACATGCACACTGCAACTAGCACCCAGATTCCAAAAGATCAAATATGCCTCAAATACTAACCAAACACTAAGAGCAATGTCAATAAATTTGAACAAGCATCAGCTCAGGTCAAAAGATTGCAAAAGGTGAGAAACAATCAAATAATTTTGAGACAGGTCCGAACCTTTATCTAAATTGATAGGTTTCTTCACCAAAAGAACTGTCTTTACTCAAATAGTTTTTGGCTAAAGAGCCTAGAAAAGACTTTCATTGCACAACAAAACCCCAAAATTTGAAGAGAGCATAACACTCTCTGAAGAATACCCATGTAACCAAACAATTACTTCACTCTATGTCTCTATATCAAACCGGGGGAGGAAGATTCCATGCACCAAAACACATACAGTGCGTTCAGAACAGAACTAATAACAAAAACCTTAAATACGCAGTTATTCTTGTTGCAATTGAAAAACAAAGACAGACGCTTTTAGGGCTTTTCGTAAATGAGAGACCTTGAGAGAGAAGCCTGCTGACGGCTTCGTTAGGGTCCATATTACACTCTTTAAGAGCGGCGTAGATCTCAGACTCTGGATAGTTCTTCACTATCTCCTTCAAACTATCCACCATCTTCCGCGATCCTGAAGGAATCGTTGCCACTCCGCCGCCGCCGCCGCCATTCTTACTGCCCCCTCTGCTACCCATCCTAACTATCGCTCAATGAAACAGAGGATATAAGCAGAAGTATAGTATGGTATATATATGTGGATAATAAATACGGAGTATAAATTAGGGCGTATACCAGTATATATGTATATCTTCCCCTAGATCTGTCGCAGTCTCGCAGATGCTTCGCTATATACGCATACGAAGGCACGCAGTAAGAGGTTTAGTGCATCCAGGTTTCGCATATTATAACGAGAGTCCAAGTCTGAAACTGATTATTACTCCTTTCCCTTGTAAAAAAAGACACCATTCTAATATTTTATCAATAATATTTTTAACAATATTTTTAAGTGAAAATGGAAACTAATAATCCAATCTTTTAGCGGTCTTCTTTCAATAATCGATTATTCATAAATAATTCAACCTTTGCACCTCATCTTCATTCACTGGTCCCTGACCGGTTGATGACCTGCTATTCCAAACTATTTTCTTATCTTTGCAAATCATTATACCATAAATCTCATCTTTCACAAAGATAATATTTTGGAAAGATAAGAAAATAATGAGATGAGGTGCAAAGGTTGGATTATTCATGAATAATCAAAAGGTGGGATTATTTAAGGAAGACCGCTAAAAGGTTGGATTATTAGTTTCCATTTTCCCTATTTTTAATCAATAAATTTTATTTGAGTAATGTGTTGAGTCATATTTTTATAATTTCAAATCATTTTTTATAAGTAAATTTTACTCCGTATTTCATAAATATTATTGAGAAACCCTCTTTTATTAATACCTTGAAAACATATTATAAAAATTATCAATAATTTTTTTAATTTATATTTTAATATATGAATTATTGTAACATTTACTGAATAAATATACAAACTGTGTGTCGCAAAGCATGATGACCAAATTTTATTTTACAATTAAATAAGAACTATAAAAACATATAACTTCTGATAAATGTGTTCATATTTTATAGGGTGAAATTTGAAATTAATAAAACAAGATGTATCAAAGTGTAAAAAGAGTGTGATTTTTTTTTATTTAACCATCAAAGTTCTAGATATAAAACGGACAGTATTGTGATATAAGTGTATAAGCAGTATTTTTATGTGTGCAATACACTGGGCCATCTTTAGTTGGTTTGGTGCCTCGGGCAAAACTGAAATTACATTTTCCATAATGTTTTTCACAATACATTATACTATCTTTCGTTCTTTAATTCTTGCAACAGTTTGACTTTAACGTTTGCCAACGCAAAACTTTGACTGCAATTATATTTAATCATGTATAAGTAAACATTATAAAAAGTTGATATTTTGGAAATTCACATTGATAAGAATTCAATAACATTTTATACGTAATAATTTGATTATGTATATTAATAGAAAATCGTGGTCAAAGTAAGGTCTGTGAATAGTGCAAATATCATAATGTTGCAAGAATTAAAGAACGGAGGAAGTATGTAGTATAGACAGGAGTGTTATTTACGTATCTCGAAAATCTGCAAAATAAATAGTTAAATAAATAAATATGATAAACGAAAAGCGTACGGAATTGAAGAGGTTGAACCGAGCCCAACAAATGTTTGTTGTCTCCTTAAGACAAATTTGCTCGGTAGCAATTGTCTCCCAAAATAGAACGGTTTTTCGTTCTCGAATGACAACGGTGAACCAGATGATGCACTAATGGTGGAGTTTTGGATGTAGAGGAAGAAGAAGACTTTGTGATAATTTTTTGAGCTTATTGCTTCGCTAAAAAACACAGGAGCCAATCGGGATATGAGTACTCTGGCTAGGAGACTAATCCCAAAAAACACCTATTTAGAAAAGGTGGCAACCTTTCTTCTCAATGTTGCCTTATCCAAATTTAATTAATTGTACAAAAATAATGTTTAAGTCTTAAAGCCAAACGGGTACCCACTCGTACCCAAATCTCGACCTGACCTCTCTAGCCGACCGGACAACGATAGCACATGACAAGTCCTACACGAACATGGCTTCAGAGAGTATTTTGGGAAACAATTTCTCATTCATTTCAAAATAATTTTCTACAAATAATATATTTGTAAAATCTTTTTTCCAACAAGGAGTGGACGCTCTTTGTTCAGGGGGGTTCAGCCGTTCAGGCGAACACCTGAAAATGAAAATATATTGTAAAAATAAATGTGTAAAATTGATGTAATAATGTATTCTACGTACATTATTATGTAGTTTTTTATATAATATTTTTTACCTTGACCCTTTTTGCTGATTTTTTGTTGAAAAAATTACATTTCTTCAATTTTGAGGTTAAACAATATTATTGTGCAATATTTTAACCATTTTTTAACACCCAACTTTCGGTTGCAAGATCCTCCACTTCATATAGAGTAGTTGATTAAAAGTATTAAAAAGAAAATGAAATTAAATATATAAATTGCAAGGCAATCACAAAAAAAAAATAAAAGCCTTCACTTTTTTCTTTCAAAAATTCTCTTCCTTTAGGCCTTCACATTTATCTTATGTTCCAATTTTTTGTAAGTAGTTTAGGAGTTTGGTAATTTCTAAAATCTTAAAGTACCAATAAGGCAATAATTCATAATGAGCTACATTAGTTTAGGCCACATGCCCATATGAAACAAATATACGTAGTACTTTTTATTAAGTTTTACAACCGCTTTCTCCTTTATTAGTATTCCCAAATACTATATATGACTTATATAATAATAATAATAGTAGCCTTACTTTTAAAAATTAGTGCCCCAATATGATAATGGTGCGGTAGGCATATGCCTAAGGTGCCTCACACTTAAAGTCGGTACTGTGCACAAGATGCATGTTAATTAATTACTATCTCACATAATATTTTTTAAACTTTATGCTTGAAAGCCAAGCCCAATAACTAACTTTTTCAATTTAGCAATCAATTTTTTTGAAGCATAACATTCAAAGTTTATGCAATCTCAAAAGAGGCGGCCATTTTTATTTTTATTAAATGAATTAATCATCGCACAGATGTTCAATAGTAATAAAGGTTCTAATACGTATTGAAGTTTATATAGTCTGACATGATAAAATGCCATTATAAGCTCCTTACAAATTATTTTAAACTTCTCTATTAATAGATAAAATGTGTAATCTATTAAATAAAATGGTTTATTCAATCAACAAAATCTTTTAATTAATTATTATATGCTTCTCCATTAATGGTAATATTACAGTCCTATTTTTATTCATTTAATTCCAAAATCCTCTCCAAATGAAATGACTTATTTGGTAAATGTATTTCATTGTTTTCAAAATAAATAGTAATTACAAAATCTCATTTTTTTAAATAATGACAAACACTATTGTACACATTCATAAATAATGAAGCTAACACTCATAGCATACCAAGCAAGACCAAATGTGTCACGCCCCAGACCTCAATCTAGGCGCGTGTACAACCGCCGTAAAATCATGTGACGTCACCCGCGAGTCAACCTCACTTAATCATACAAGGCGTTCGAGAAAATTATCCATCCATACTCAGTAGTAAACATACATAACAACATCACATTTATACCAATGAATAGCGGAAATATTCAACGGTAAATCTTGAGCCACATTCGGCCAACAATATGGGCATGCAAGCCCAAAAGTAATTTATAATAAGTAAAATATCCATGAACAATGTTTGGTAGTTTGAAAAGAAATAAAGAAACACGAACCACGTCCTCCTGAATTGATTTCCCGGGCAATGGGCAATGGGCAATGGTAGCAACCTTCAAGTTCTACTTGAAACTGTGAGGTGGCCTCCCCCGTGAAGGGGAGATCAGTACTTTGAAGCATTTGAAAAGTACAATTACAACTATACTAAGTATAATCAATGTTTCAATTTCTAAGACCCTCAATCTAGGGTATTATTAAATATAGTTAACCCGTTCATTTAATATCGATTCACCGTGCTAGAGTCCTACTTCTAGTCACCTTTACGTCGGTCTAGAGCCCTGCTCATAATCACTGCTATTTACATCGGTCTAGAACCCTGCTCATAATCACCGTTATTTACCTCGGTCTAGAGCCCTGCTCATAATCACCGCTATTTACGTCGGTCCAGAGCCCTGCTCATAATCACCGCTATTTACGTCGGTCCAGAGCCCTGCTCATAATCACCGCTAATTACGTCGGTCCAGAGCCCTGCTCATAATCACCGCTACTTACGTCGGTCCAGAGCCCTGCTCATAATCACCGCTACTTACGTCGGTCCAGAGCCCTGCTCATAATCACCGCTACTTACGTCGGTCCAGAGCCCTGCTCATAATCACCGCTACTTACGTCGGTCCAGAGCCCTGCTCATAATCACCGCTACTTACGTCGGTCAAGAGCCCTGCTCATAATCACCGCTACTTACGTCGGTCCAGAGCCCTGCTCATAATCACCACTACTTACGTCGGTCCAGAGCCCTTCTCATAATCACCGCTACTACGTGCTACAACCTGCTCTAGTCACGTCGTTTAATTATCTAAACAATTTCGTTCATAAAGGCCACCTTAAATATCTCTTAAGGTTACTTACGACATATTCCTTACAATTCAATTTCTTAGGATTAGTTCCATCAATTATTCAACTAACATTTCTGACTAATATTTCAATACTAGTCGTTTGCTCATTTCAATTTAATTCCTCATCCATGTGTAATTTGGCCTTAATATCAAAATATCACTTTTACACTTTCATGACTTCTTCTCATGAAATAAAAGTATATTTATCACAATAAGGTTCATGGTTAATACAACCATCATACCATCATATTCATAACACATAAACATACCCAATTTATGGGCATAAATTTATATATTATGCATACTATACTTATAATCAACAATAATTTCATTTAGGCATTATTAATCATTAATAATCCAAAAATAAAAGTATATTTATCACAATAAAATTCATGGTTAATACAACCATCATACCATCATATTCATAACACATAAACATACCCAAATTTATTCATAAATTTGTATACTATGCATACTATACTTATAATAGATAGTAATTTCGTTTAGGCATTATTAATCATTAATAATCCATGCAAATCACATTTTTATTCATTTAGGAAATCTTATGAAATTAACCCACTAATTATAAGCAATATAGTCGGTCATCCTCACCTTAAATTAGCGCTTTCAAGTTCTACCCCTCTTGGTTGAGCCCCGGCGAAACTCCGGCCACTTTTGACGAACTCCGGCGACAACTCCGGCAACTCTTTCAACTTCGTGAAAGCTCTTGAAATTC